AAAATTGTTCAGCAAAATGAAGAGTTATCTAAAACCCAATAACTGTAATATTGCAAACCAGAGCAGCGATAAACAAAGTATTTCAATGAACAGCTTTGCACGAAAGAGCTTCATGCCAGCCTGCCACCATGAAAAGCGACACAGCAAACCCCGGTACACTGCAGATTCAAAAAATAAGTGAATACCTATTATGTGTTCTCTTTAACCAATAAGCCAGTGTAAGAATGCCGATATTTCGATCATACCGCTCAATAACTGCATATTGACACATGTCACCACTAAACACTTGAGTTGCTTGACAGAACAACACATCCAGTTGCAACATTTGCGCAAATGAATGAAGTAAATTATATACTTCTTCAAGTGGCTGGAAAAAATTTCTAATCTTTTATGTACTAAACAGATAAAGCCAATGAGTTACCACGAATGAATATAAAGGAGATATAAAAACAAAATGCTACTACTTTTCATGTCATTAAGCTAAAGGAATTTTTTATTTGGCTATACAAATTGATTGGTCTAATACGATTTTCCTAGCCTCAAAGATTTTTCTTCAGAGCCACTAGCCAGTGCATAAAAACAGTTGTTGCATAAAAGTTAATTTACATTCCTACAAGCAAGAATCTCATGACAAAAACCAAAAAAATATTTCATAAATGACGGAAATATTAAATTTGTTCTCCAAACTCTCAAAAACACCAACCTTCAAGCTTTTATCCATCCTCAACTGCAAAACATTATGAAGCATGTTGACTTGCAATGGGTGGACCAGTTTAGTTCCAAAACCGATTTCGTAATCCTCAACTAATATTCTGATGTTCAGCAAAGTCCATTTTGTAGCCGGCCGCTCACCCAACAATGTCAGTGATACTTCAAATTCACCGTTAACAGTCATCGTCACCTATAAAATTTCCCATTACTTTTTACAAAACTTTCCGATCGGCATAGTTGATTTTGTTTTTAAAAATGTGATACCACTTGTTATAAAAAAATTACGCAGAGATTCTGAGTTGTCTCATAAGACTGTCTCACATATGATCTTAGCTGCAACTCCTAGGACTTGAATTATTTAGCTTTTAAAATCCAAATCCAAAATAAATCTCGAAATTTACCATTCCATTTCTAATCACAGTTTTCGATATACGAGGCGACAGTTTCGTTGCATAACTCGAAAGGCGATATTGTATGACTTGATTGAGTCGAGCTAAAATGCATGCTTCTTCTCGTGGTGTTATCGGTGGATCGGGGATGAAACGACTCTACAAGTAGATTTGACGCAAGCTTCTGAGAAAGATATCTTAAATCCTACAAAACTTGAAAAAGCTATATTTCTGAACTATTTACAACAACAAATCAAGAACCAAATTAAATTTGATCAAACATTTGTCTCAACAAAACATCTTTATTTCCTGCAAAAAATAAAAATTATCATGCTCTGAAGAGTTCCTAAATGCACCTATAACAAATTACCTTTATACACAATGGAAGTCGTGGAAATGTCCCAACTGTGAGAACATCAACAGCTAATGCCACTTGAAAGGTTGGTAACCTGAATAAAAAGGTTTATCAATACTCATAAAAACTACTTTCATGAGTTCAATTTTATTTTATGAAATGTTCCAGGAAATTTTATTTTCATATTCCTCTTTCCAATCCATCTCCATATTGGAATACCTCTTTATTTACATATTCATATTTTCCAAACATTTAAACGATGGAAATGAATGCTGAAGAAATATTCCTATTGTAAAGGTAGCTAGAAATATAGGAAAGCAAAACATCCGAGTAGTACCTTTCTTGCTTCACAATTTGGTTATACTATAATTTTCAAATTTATATCTACAGAATGAGACCAACCTTGCAAAGACAAGCTCCTCTCGTGCTAACTGTACCAGGCGATCAGCTGTATCCACGAAATACTGTGACTGCTGATCCAAGAAATAACAAATCGACTGGAAAAACGAATAACTTTAAAAAAAATTCTCAAGATATATTTACATAATATATGCGTACATTAATAAAACAATACTTACAGCACATGATTCGAATTTCTTCGACGACTTTACCCATTTTACCACTGCGAGAAGTTTGATAAAAAGTACACGCGTTGAATGCGCGAACTGTACAATGCTAATTTTTCTGTCCGAATCAAGCTTCTTTGGTAGTCTAAAATGTCAAAAACTTGTGACCGGCTTTAGTTCTCTCTCAAAAAAGAATTCATTCTGCTTAACCAACAGGAACGAAACTTCCATGTATATTATTCTGTATATCTTGAATTAAAACACATTTCTGGTTGAGTACATAACATGCGACTTATATATATATATATACATATATATATACATATATACATATATATACATATATATATACATATATGTATATAAGTAGTTAACATTATACTTCAATTGAACAGAATTCCCTTCATCTAGATTAATACTTGAAGAGCAGTAAAAATTATATAACTTACAATTCCGAGAGAACGGTAAGTTCATGAAAAATTTGCTGCACAGCAAATTCAATCAAATGTCCTAACGGAATCACCGGTGGACCGCATTTTTCTGGTACAGTTGGTAACATCGGTTTCATATATTCTTCATCGTCCATTTTGTCTTTTCACCCTTTGATCTCGCTGAAACACGTGTCTCCTCGAATCATGTGTGAAATGCAAGACTCCTCGCAATTCTCTTTTTGACAACATGCAAGACAGTATTTCCAATATTCCTTCAGCATTATTTAACTAATAATGAAAAATGAGATGAAAGAACACATTACATCAGTCACAACTTCAACCTTACAAAATGTATTGTTGATTCAGGATGTTTGAGGCATTGTTTCAGAGAATTAAATAAAAAACATAGATTTTGATAAACTCTTCTCATTGGATTACTTGAATTGACTCATTGGATTAGTTGATCTTCTCATTAAATTAGTTGACTTTTCATTGAACTAGTTGAATTATAAGTACTTTTTCTATCTTGGATGAATTTATTTTTATACATTCTAAATATCCTTTCAAATTCCTTGACTAAGTCATGGAGTTCATTAAAGAGTTGTAAGAGAAAAAGTGAGAACTATGAACAATCTGATATGAAATGTATCATTTGATTAAAGAGATACCGAAGTTCTTTTTCTAGCAAGTATTCATAGCGTTAAGCTCTTATTGTTGTCTTTCTAGTCACTGGAGTGATATTTCGAACAGAAATGGTAAAACAAGTTTTTTAATTTTTAACAGTCTTGAAGATTTTTCCAGTGAAATCAAACAGGGTACTTCATTACAACATCAAATAAATCGCTGTATTAATCCGAATATAAGCCGCCAAGGTGATCTTCGAATATTAAGCAAAAGTAAGAAAATATAAGGATTTACTGGCACGAAACTGTATTATATAGCTGAAAAATTCAATTACAATACGAAATTTAACTTTCCAATACGAAAAATCACTCATCCCCAAATGAACAGTTACACGGTAAGTAAAGACATTGCAAAAGAGATAATCCGTTTAAAATAACTCTGAAATTAAAAACAATAATCCGTTAAAATATTTCTTTGAAATTCTACACTTTCAATGTTCATCCAACTAAACCTTCTGGATGCATTTCATTGAATCACAAAGCGATTGATATGTTGTAAAATCATTTTTCAGGAATTTTTCTCCTTACTTGATTTGATTACTTTTGCTACGCTAATTTTTGAAGACAATTTTGCACTTCACCTACCTCAACCGGTAGGCACTTAGAAAAAGAACATAAGGGAGAAAGTGAGAAACTGAGTGTAAATTAAATGTTGATAAGTTGTGTACGATTTTGCTGTGTCAATTGTAGGTAGTGAAAGGATCAATTTCCTACTGACAGAGAATCCAGATAAATAATGAGCATAATTTCCTCATCCAGCCCAAGCCGTCTTGTCCCACTCCTCTAACCTGAAAAAAGGACCGACTTATGTACGACGGGAGAAAATACGGGACAATGCTGAACAGATTACACACAACCATCGGCAATTAGCCAATGATATAGCGCTGCAGCAATGAGAACAGCTCAGGTTTAAAGTGAAATAGCCAAAAATCAGCAACTAGCTTTTGCAAATTTTCTTACTATTTTTGAAGTTTTTCTCGCCTCTTTTTTGTTTTTTCGTCTATCTCACGCATACTAACACATTTTATAAAGGGAAAGTGAGAGAACGAGACAACTAGTTTAAATAGAAGAAAGATCTGACTGCCTAATACAAGATTGTCCACAGAACATTCAACATCTATTCTCTTCTTTAACAAACCGTCTTTTTCTTTTCCCTTTCAACCACTAACAGCTTTTACTTATTTTGTCATGATATCTTCATGTGGAGCAACTTGTGTCAAAACCTGCCAGAACATAGTAGCGTTACAGCTGGAAAATAAAGAAAGTTGGGAAAGGCTAGAATGGAAGGATGCGAAAGGCAATAAAGTAGCATATATAAGAAGAGCTGAACGGCTGGCTCGATTCAGTTTGTGGTGAAGGGACTGCTCCATTATGAGGAAGAGTGTGCGGGGTGTGTGTGACGCAGTTACGTGGTTTATTACGGAGCTTAGTGGTGTGTGGTGCGGGGTTTCTCCGGTGGTTTGTGTGTTGTTATTGATTTTTGCCATTTTTTTATCTTCTAGCATTTTGTTCTTTTTCTTATCTTTTTTTCTAGAAGTGTAAGTAAATGTAGGCAAATCGCATTCGCAGTGTTGTCAAATTTGAATTTGTTATGATTTCGTTATTGTCGGGTTATTTCTTATGATTTCATGGTGGGAAAATAAGGAGAGAGAGAAAGGCGGTTGGTATGGAATAAAATTAGTTCGAGAAAAATGTAGCATTGCTTTTTTTGGTGTGGTGGTGATTGTGGAAAAAGAAGAGAAGAAAAAGAATACGGTGCTGATAAGAGTGGTTCAGCCGACAGCTAATTAGGAGGAGGAGGAAGAGAACGACAAAGAGGCGAAGGGTTCGAACGGTGGTTTTTTGGGGATGAGAAGTGTGGAAGGATGACAATTGTCGTTTTTCTCATCGATTCCAGTGCCTCGATGGCCCAAAAGACTTATCAAGGCACCGCGATGCTGGATGTAGCGCGGTCAGTCGTTGAATTGATCCTCAAGGTAATTCCCTCCCCGTTTTTCTCATCCTTTCTCACAACTGTGACATATGCTTTCGCATAATAAGATAATTTTTAGATTCCTGAATTGTCTGTCCATTTTTCATAGCAAATGGGTTGGCTTCGGGAGAAGTAGCGTCCATTTTTTCACTGCTTGCAGTGTTTTCGAACCCTTTCGAGATATTTCTAGTATTAAAGAGTTGGATATGGTTTCAGATTCTAATTTCATTAAAGTATTTGTGACATTCTCTTGTTTGTCCGTTACTCTCTGTTATTTAAAGTGAAGAGAATAGAACTATTACAGCAACGGGTACGTGATGCAAGTGCGCGTGGTGATCGATATATGCTGATGTCGTTCGAAGAATTTCCTATAAATGTAAAGGTTCGTGAAACTGAGCTAACAATAATGGCAAATGTCAATTCACAATTGGCAGCAGTACCCTTGCGGATCGGAGATTAGAGTGCAGTATGGGAGGAAAAAAGTTTCAGGAAACTGTGAAAAGAGAGGAAGGAGAAGCGCCAAAAGACATCATCAAGAATGGCGCACAATTTTTGTACTTTAACTGGAAAAAGCTAAAAAAGTGGTTGCGCAGAAGTTGAAATTCTCTATGTATTTCGAGGACTGATCGTAAAAATAAAAATATGAATAAAATAGGTCTGAACTGCTGTCGCTGTCATTGGGGATTTCGGCGCAGTGTGTTTGCCAGTTTCGAGCTCGCCCAAGAGTTCATTGAAAAGCTGTCTGCCTTCAGGGTGAAAAATATTCTTCACTGTTGGGCGCATGAAGATCATTGGAGCTCGCTTAAGGCGGAATGTTCCAGGTTGTCGTAAATCTGGATCCATGTGGGTACAGCTAGAGAATATATGAAAGTAGTGGTTTGATCACTGCAGTCGAAGTTTCGAATATAATTTAACTGAATTCGAAATTGAGGAGAATTGTTTTAAAATAGCAAATTTTCGGAGCATAATAAAGTTTGAAACGTAACATCATGGGGCGTGTATTCCATCCTTGCTGATGTCTTCGGATTTGGTCGATTCGATTAAGAACGATAAAGTGCAAGACAGTCATTAGGCGCTTCTCCCGTTCCCATGATTAGGAAAAGAAAATGTTATCACTTGTAATAGAAGAGGTTGGGAAAGGTGAATATAAATTTTTGGAGAGGTGAATATAAAGCACACAGGAAAGGGAAAGGGGTTGTAAGAACTTGTGGGTTTGAAAGTAGAGAAATTCGGTTAGAATGAAATAAATGGAAAGTCCAGGATGAGAACCAATTGTTAGTGGTGATCTACGGCTCCTCACGCTACTCCCACAGGATATTGGTAAACGGTATGCAATCGTTTTGCAAATAGGCACATATTGTGTGATGAAATATGTTTACTCAGCGAATAAGAATGGTTGCAAGGGATGCAGTTCTGGAAGTTAACAAGCTTGCTTTATTTGCTGAACAAATTTCTCTTTTAAATAATCTGTAGAAGTTATGCATGACATATGGAAACACTGGGCACTGGAACACATTTGACCCATTTACTGGATAGGGATGAAAAAAAAGTGGAGATTCAACTTGTGATGTTAAATAAAAGATTAGGAGGGAGTGCGTCGGATTGATATTTTTATGACTTTCTCTGGAAAGATTGTTACTTCTCTATACTTTATTGGCTAAGGATTAAGAGTTTCCAATTTGAAAGTGAATGTACGAATTACCTGATTTTTGTTAAAGATGGTTCCTTTTGAGTTCAAAATATATCAATCATATCTGAAGAAATCAGTGCTATTTTAATAAAAGCGGTTGTTCTGTTTAACTTACCTCCAGTTATGTCATAGCGTCGAAATTTTTCATTTTTGAGTTTTGTATTTTCATTATCTTTTATTCAATGGTTATTTATTCAAAGTAGTTTGATATTTCACATGGTAAGCTTTCACCGGGCATTGTACTAAATATGTTTTGTGTGCACTTATATACCATTACAAAATCACTCCATCAAGTGACTGAGAGATTGTGTATGAACTAGCAGAATTTGGGGTATACTAGGAAAAGTTATTCATTAAACAAGAAAAGTTATAGTGAGCAGACAATGCTATTTCTTGAGTAAGATTATGCGATTATTTTAGTTTATTGCTTAGGCATCATTTATGAATTTTTGTTTAGGCAGGATGGCGAGAAAGCCAAAGTATCTTCCAAGAACAATTGAAAATGCTTAAACCGCATGGTCTAACGTCTTTTGGTGCTGCATTAGGCTCAGCATTAAGGTATTTATCAGGATTAAACATTTCAATTAATTATCAGCTTCTTTGTTTATTTGGTTTTTTGTGAATTGAGGGCTACTGTTGTGTAATTAGTTATAGAAGGAAAATGATGAGTTAGGGATTGTGGAAAGAATATTTCTATCTGATTATTATTATGGTAGTATTAATCTGATATAGACTTCAAAGGTGAAGTAAATTACGTTGTCAAAGTAAGCAACCAGAATTGGTAAGTGCATTATTTTTGAATTTTTGATTTTTGTTCAAGATTTGTGAATGTGAATCGACTTCAAACTGGCATTGACAATTTTGGTGCTGGTCGTTATCCATTCTATATCGAACCAGTTGTTATAATTAGTATAACTGATGGTAACTGTTTGACATGTCCTCAGTTTGGAACTGTTAATGAGGTGAAACTTTTTTCAGTGATTAGTTTTTCCTTTTTTCAAGTTTGCATTATAATACAAGATGATCAGGAGACGAACGTAATAAATTTTTTTATATATATAAATTTCTAAATATGCACTGTGTCGATTGTTGTTATTCAATAAGAAATGTTGCAGTTTTGCTTTCACTCTGTAGATAGTGGGAAAGTTTCTTCTCATTAACCATAGCGATTGACTTTATGAATGTGAGCTAGGAATGCGACAAATTTCAGCATGAAATGAAATGTGTACATAATGATGAGGTGCTAATTGAATCTTTTTTTCCAGATTAAAGTTGCGAAGCCTACGACCATTGGAAATGAAATGATTGAAGAACCGTTCAGATGGGATCAGCGTCTCTATTCAATAGTTCTGCGTCTCGGCGGTAATACTCCCGTGGGAAAAGTTTGTCCTGGAATGAATATACCTTCCGACAATAGCCCTATTGATGCGATGTGTGTTGCAACCGGAGGTAAGTGGTAATTATTATTGATATACGTGATTTGTATGCCATCTGCAAATTAAAGAACATTTTTATTATTTTTTATTTCTCTTGTGAGATTAGTTTTCAGTTTTTGCTTGAAAGTTTCTTCTGTTTTGTTCTCTTTCATTTGGATTATTTTCCGTGTTTAAATTTATAGTGGGACTTTTTAAATAACAAATATTGCTGACTAATTTCAGGACGATCATATTGCGTATCATCGCATAAGATGCTAGCTATATGTGTTGAATCGGTTGTTCAAAAACTGCAGCAACAGGGAATCGTCTTGCGTTTCGAAAAGTACGGACCAGATCCTATATTAAATTCAGGTATTTTTCAAAATTTTCCGAGATTTGTTTTTGGACTTTAGCTTATGAGTCAAAAAAAACGTTTACTTTATAAACTCATTCAGAGTTTATTTTAAAAGTTAAATGGTTTTTCTTCAGATCGAACAAACGGCATTGTTGAAAACGGAAGTTCGAAAAAAAATGGTGAATTAACATCTGTTGGTGGTAAATCATTTAATTCAGATAACTGGCATAATGTTACCTGTACCGTTTATTCGCGTGCGTCTCGATCATACCCCGGTCACTGGCCCATTCCAGAGGCGTTTTGGCCCGATCGTAGCATGTAATTTTTTTTAAATTAATTTTGCAAAGTAAAACATTACATAGTGTCTTGCTATCCTGTCCCATTTTGGGTGGAAATTTCATGATGTACTGTGTTCTTTTTCCAACCGCTAGTCTAATTTTTGATTTTTTGTGCTAATGCTTTTGATTTAGGGTAAGTTTACCGCCACGAAAAGCTCATCCGGTGATCTCATTTCGTTGTGAACCTTGTGAACCTCTTGTTTGTCAAGATTTTCCATTTGACAAATATGAGCTTGAACCTTCGCCTTTAACGAGGTTCATATTAGAGCGTAAACAACCTGGAGTCTGTTGGCAGGTATAATTTCGTTCTTTTCCATGTTTTTATTTAGTACTTTTTTTGATAACATGATTTTTTTTAGAAATTTTCGGTTTTTATTAACTTTTTTAGGCTTCCCCACATACAAATGTATATAGATACCATGATCACTGAATTTATTTAAATCATTTTGTTAGGGATCATGAAGATTTCAGGTTTTCGTTCATAATTCAAGTGTAGTTGGGAGTTCACCGGCTCCTTTCGGATACCTCAAAGCAGCCACCAATTTATCATGTGTAAATTTATTTATAATGCCTTACAATTATCCGTTTTTGCTTCCGCTAATTGAGGAAATGAAGATGGACTCGAAAGCCAAAAATAGCCATTCCTGGAGGTTGCGTTTGGAAAAGTATTTGGCCACAGTGCCAAGTTACTATGTACAGGTTAGATCTTTATCTGACAGTCTGAATTGTTTCATTTTTTTTGGTATTGTTTTTTTTTTGGTAGTGTTTTGACGTGGTTCTATAATTAGAAGGAAGTGAGATTCAGTTCAACTCTCACTCACATCATCCAAGCGTATTTAATAGCAATGTTAAATGTAGCGCTGAATAGATAATATAGATTGTTACTGAGTTTATTATGTGAGCCAGGATTTTCGCATTTCCAAATGCTTTTACGGCCCGAAGTAAACTTGAACTGACATTTCATACTTGTTATTTCTTAGCAGTTTGAAAACTGAAATTTTACTTTAGCCACTTAAAAAGGCATTTACCCGGCTAAATATCTCACATCCAATGTTGGAACCAGATCAAATGCAACAATATTCGTATAACATATTGTCTTACATTGCGAAAGTGAAACATATGGCTCGTGAAGAATTCGAATCACTGTGTAATACTGTGGCAGCATCATTACAAATCTCGGTCCCGCTTATATCTTTGGTCTGTTTTATGCATAAATAATACTGTAAGAAGCCAATTACGGTATCAAAACAATAGAGTAATGCATATGTTATAATTAATTTTAGGTTGCTGTTCAGAAGCGTACGCGTCTCCGGGATAGTCGGAATATAAAAAGGATCTCTGCATATAATGACATGGATAGTTTTCATGGGTTCCAGGTCTCTTTTTGATGTCCCCAAATATAATTTTTTTTACGGCTGAATTTTTCTATTTTTATTCCTATTTAGCCATATATTTTGTTAGTTAGGGTTTATAATTCTCTGCCTGTAGTATACACTTCAAGATGCAGGGCTTTTTTCTGCTAACATCACATTAAGTACGGCACTGGAATCAAGTCACTTCTATAAAGCTTAGAAAGTAGAAGTCAAGCTTACGTTACAGGTACAAGTTGATATCCCTAAAATATTGATCGCTCCATCATTACAATTTCGGAATCCATTTGAAATTAGACGAGGTAGACTCTTCGAACAAGTGCAGAAAATGCGAATTAATTTGATGCAACAACTCAACGTTGGACAGATACCGATATTTGAGGGTGGTCGTCCGGGTACCAATATCAAATTACAACATGCCGGTTTGTTTTCCTGTTTTTACCATCTATTATTTTTCAGGTTGAAATATTTCGTGTTGCATTTATTTTTTTTTGCAGAGGATTTGCACAACCTTCCCATTGGTCAGATGGGAAATTATCAGGAATATATCAAGAGCCTTGAGGCTGTTGGGCGTGGTCCACTTAGAGAAGTTGAACCACAAGCAATTCGCGTACATGCATTTGGGAATCCATTTAAAATCGATAAGGTGCGTAATTTGCTGATATTTTTAAAAGGAAAAGCTGTGTAAAATCCGAATGAATTTTATATTTCAAAACTGAGTTATATGTGTTTCAATTCTTGTTGAGTTCTTGTTCTGTTATATATTACAGAAAACCATGACAGTGGACGAAGTGGGTGAAGGAAACTTATTGGGAACTTCTCCGAAAGTAGAAACTTCAAAAAAAAGGTTGTCATCGACTGGTTCAGGTGCTTCTAGCACAGATAGCAGTCGTCCGCCCCGGCGAAAGGCGGGGCCTTTAGCAGCAGACTCCTTGTCTCAATGGCGGTAAATGCTTGACCGTATTTCAATCTTTCTGTATGTTTTGATTTTCGCAAAATGGTATGAAATTTTCTAAACTGTTCTGTTGAGGAACTCAAATTGCTTTGTTTTTTTTCTAAAAAATAATATAGGAATGCGAATGTAGGAATTATTTTTCTAGTTGTAGGCGACGACGGCGGCGTAGCGTATCCTCATATTCATCAGTTACTTCTTTATCCGATCTCGAATTAGCTTCTCATAGTTCCGATCTCTCTCCCGAAGATACTCGTGAGTTTCTGCATCATTTTTATCATTTGTTTCCCGCAAAATCATTCTCTCTAGCTTTTGTGTTTTTCATTGTCACATGGAATACTTCTTAGTGTTGTCCGAAAATCTATCATAAAATTTGACTGGGAAGATTGAATTCAATTAGAAAATGATTTGGAGAAGTTCGTTCTCATTCCAGAGTTTGATAGAGCTATGGATTTATGAACAATGATAAAGGTATACCTAAATAATATAGCACTTTTTGGTTTAGGTTACGGACCGTCTACATCGGGTTTAAACGGTAATCTTGAACGTAAATTAAATGGTGATGTGCATGAAAAGTCGCCGAAAAGAGTCGCTTCAGCAGGATCTCAATTTTCACCAGTGCAGAAAAAATCACGTTTAGAAGGTACATCGCGCTTAGAAGAATCGGCATTGAAGGAGAAGAAATTACTTTTGGGCAAATTTGTAAGAAAACTCGTAGACGGTGAATTTCCTTTTACTCGCATAATTTTAAAATCTGATTAATCTTTGCAAATAGTATTTCTACGGATGAGATTTTTCATTTACTCGCATAAATCTGATTAATCTGATTTTTTTTCAGCAATACAAGTTTGAAAGAGCTTTGATCAGGATAGTTTTATGACACGTGTGCATAGTTAAGCGCAGATATGGTAAAAGAAATATCACCTTCGTTTGATTTGAAAATTCGTAAAAGCAAACATAATATTTCAGCTGAAAAAGTGATGCAAAGCATGGAAGTAAAAGATCTTTGTATCGTAGATCGTAGGATATGCTTACGTTATGCATTACGAGAAGCAAAACGATTTCGGAGGAAAGCACTGGTAGATCTTATAATCAAGCAGCTGAATCAAATGTTGCCGGATGCTTCCATCAATGAAGATCTGTAGCTTATGATCAAGACGCATTACCTACTTGAGATTTATGTGATTTAGATGCTTGGAAAAGATCTTAAATGTATAGGAAAACTAGCTTTTTCAATTATGGATTCCTGCAAGAGTAGATTATTTTCACATCAAAGTTTCATCTGCAGTCTGTTTGTAAACATGAGGATATGGATTTCTTTCATGAGTATTGGCAACCTATACTCATTATTGTTTATTTTTCATCGATCTCATTGGTTCACTTATTTGAGTTTCGAACTTATATGTACACTGTTGTCACGGATATCTTTACTTGCTCACTCAAGCGGGTGCTTCTTCATTTCTATCTTTTGTCCAGTGTATTAAATCTGCCGTGTTTAGAGATGTATCAGTTGTGTTAGAAATTTACAAATTATTTTTTATATGTACACTCCTGGAAGCAAGCATGAAAACTAATTATGAGCGGGAACTGTGCAATCCCTTTTGTTTTCTCCTTCGTCTTTACCCTTACTAACCTATTCACTTTTCCATTTGTGAAAACAATGTTTTCACATGGAAAAAGTGGAAAAAAATGGAAAAATTCAAATGGAAAAAAGGAAAAAAGTTGAGCCTGATCCCCTGTTTAAAAATTTCAGTTTGCAATTCGAAATCTATTTTTAGATTTTCAGGTGAGAAATTTTTAAAATTTTTTTGAAAAACTTTGAATCCAATAAGTACGATCTGTCAATCTCTTGAACGTATGTTTAAGATTTCATAATCCAGGAGATGGATTTCCGGTGATAAGTCATTCATTATTTTTGTTCTTAAACACGGCATACATTTTTTTCCCAGCTTGTTCAATTGTGTACGTTATGTATAAAAGAAAGAGTAATTGATGTATTGTGAAAAAAGAGATGTGTATCACGGAATAGACCACAAACAATTTCAAACTGATCCATTACCTTTGCTGTTCCGTGTAGTGCGAATGAGTGAAAGTTGAGATGATGTAGTTCAGTTAGGACCCTTTCCAACAGATCGAATAATGCCGTATTGCGCTACAACAATACGACCTCTCTGATTTCTGAATGTAATGTTCCCTTTCTGTTTGGAAATGCCTATCAAAACAAGTCAATTTGTCTACACTACATCTATCCGACGTTGGAGGGATTATAAACCGCATCATTTCTGAGCCTCCGAATATTGGGAGCGACAGAACTTTGAAGGGTGCCCAGCTCTTCAGGTATTGAGGAGAGAGAAGGATTCTGCTCAAATGCGAGTACCAATGTTAAGATAAGTCGAGATTTTTGACATGCTGTCATCGATGGTATTGCTATGATTTCGAAATTGGTAACTGATGATGAGATGAAAAAGGATATCAATTTATTCACAAAATTATTTAGGACATCAAGTGAAAACAAAGTGGCATAGAGGAAGATCGACGAGTTACTTTGGTCGTTTCAAATAATTGCTGGGAATGTTACACGGCAGATCATCTTGAGAAATAGAAGTATCACCTACTATGCCATCAAAAAAACGGGTGTTAAATTTTCAACAAATAAGGGAAACTTCAGTCATTGATGAAGTGCTTCTGATAATCGCTCAAGAACTTCTCGCTCCTTTTATGGTCCATAAATAGGGAATAAGCTCGCTTGAGATCCACCGGTGACACCTGGACGTAATTTTTGTATGTCCAAAAAGCAGATTGCTTAGTCATACTGTGCAAGTTCTAAGGTTTAAAAAAAAAATTCTAAAAATTCTAAGGATGAATACATGCTAGATATTATGTATTTCAATTTCTAGGCTATTCTCAACTGGTCTGCTACTTCCAGTCCTGTTAGACTATGTAGATTCAGTTTTGAAATATTAAGGAGATTGGATAACTGTGGATACCTTTTCACCACGTCTTCGTTCGCGCAAAATATTTCCAGTTGAAATCAGTTGCATAGCATATCGCAGCGAGGTTTTACCAGCCAGCAACGTCAATATGCCAAATGCATCTGCTTCCATTTCTACAGACTCTTCTTGTGCGCGAATCCGTAAAATATCTTCGATATCTTTGCTCGAATACGGTTTTGTTCGGATTATTAATGATCTAAAAGTATGATGAAAAGTCATACTTGCATCCTCATTCAAAGGAAATCAATGAACAATATCATAAAATGAACTATAACTACCTATCTAGAAGATCAATTGGAATTCCATGCGGACTTTTGATTTGTGTTCCACGGATATATTCATGTCCTTTGTTAGTAGCTATTACAAGAATAGGAGAAAGATCTGATTCAATAGCCCTGTTCAAGAACGAAAAACATTCCAAATCTAGCATATGCGCTTCGTCAATGAACAGCACACCGGGAACAACATCTGCTTTATTTTCCTCTCGCCATTCAACTACCTGAAATGCAAATTGATTATAAATCGTTATAAGTCCAGCAATAGCATATAGGTAAATAATTTATTTAAAGGTTATTACATTGAGATTGAGAACGTACGGAAAATTATTTGAAGAAATATTGAAATTAAAACCCTAAGATTTATCAATATGTAGCTCTGGTGATTTGATTGGGAATAAATTATGATATAACCAAAAAATTATTTCTCTCAAGATTCACTTTTTTACCTTCTTATTAATTTGTTCCCTCACTTCATTCTTTATTTCTCCAGTATCTCCTGAAAACAAGGCTAAAAACCCTTGCGTTCGCGAATTTATTACATCAATTTCATGTAAAGCAATCTGAAAAGGAACAAATTAATCCTTCCTTCACTCATTAAAATGCTTTACATTTACAAATAGAAAATGCTTTGCAAATTTGAATCAAAAATTTCATTGCACATATCAATCAACTAAAATTTAAAAAAACCGGAAGAAAAACTCCACGGCATTCTGGACAGATGAAATTCCAAAATGATATAGTTGCGCTGAGATTACCGAAATGAATAAAAGGAAATTGCTTATAGATATAATCTGCATAAATTACAACAGCGATCCACAAAAAAGGTAAAAGTCATGAGCTTACTGTATGAACAGTTTCTTTACGTTTTTGGATTTCACCTTCAGGGCATCGTACGGATTTCGTTTGAGGACCCACTGCGTCGTAGTCATAAGTATGTGAAAATGATCTGCCAATCTTTGTTATACGACCTATAACAAAATCTGTGTTGACTCGCATTTCGTCAAATCTGCGAAACGCAAAGGTTTATTTTTATGGGATATAATAAACGCTACAATCCAATTAGAATACAGAAAATCACCAGTATACCTAATAATGTCCCGCAATGAGTATTAATATTTCAAGCCTCCTTTTTCACGACTGTATTTCCGACTCAAAATTTGTTTAGTTCAGTATATACACTCTTTAACTTTTCCGATATAGCTCAGATGATTCGCCCTAATATAATTTCAATGTTTAGCCTAGCTAGTAAAGCATTTCTCAAGTTCCATATACGCAGAATAGAGAAAAACCTGAGGCTTTATCAATTTGTACTACATCGCCAGCCCCAATTCTTTGTTTTATACATGCTTCAATCATCTTATTGCCAAGATCATAAATTGTTTCCATATCGGTTGTCTTCATTGTAAGCCTTCCCACTTTTGCACCACCACCAGTTGCTGGTCGGTCGATTTCAATACTTACAACCTCACCTTCTAACACCTAAAATATTCAGCAGAAGATAAAATATTATGAGAATGAAACTGTTCACATTATTAATAGTATACATTATTAATGTCTTATTAAACTTATAGTCTGCATATGGAATGTAAATCTTATTATACAAATCATGAGAAGGTAGGATAAACACGTGAAGTGATTGAAGAATAACAGGGCAATTATTACTTCTGTTTTGACTACAAAATATGTACCTCAGTTTCTTCTTTTATTCGGACACCTATAGCTTTTCGAAAAGCTTGCATTAATGCTTCAGTCTTGCTCATTTCCATCGAGAAGACTTCAGAAGCGGTTATTGATACGAATGGAGTATCTTCACCGAGAGCTTGTGACAAACCCATTGCAATAGCCGTTTTACCGGTGCCTGGTTCACCGGTCAATAACACCGCTCGCCCTGAGATTTTGCCATCCTCAAAAACAATGCATATAAAATATAGCAGCTAACTGTTAAATTTTATGCAGTCAATAATTGCCAACAGCACAATTTCCAAAATCACCTTATCAATTTTTCATTCTTCTTACCAAATTTTGATGGTAAATTAAAGTGAAAGAAAAAATTAAAAAAGATGCAATATGAGCGGTACGAAAATTACTGAGCGCGGAGATTGAAGACATGTTAACCACATGACCCTAGGAGAAATGATATGAGAAGTTACAAGATAAGAATATTAAATACCTGAATCATTTTAACGATAATTCCAGCAGCACGACGTGCTTCCATCTGACCGACCATACCCTCAGAAACTCGTTCTGGTTCCAAATTTGCGGATAATCCAAGGCCACGAATATGAGAATGTGCCCCGATTCGTTCCATCTTCAGAACGTCGCGTACCAGTACATTATCCACCGTCGTCATTTTTCTCAAGAATAGTATTATTTCAAAGAGACATGTTTAAAAAACACAATCTATTTCAAAGTAACATGTTTAAAAAATACAATCCCAACATGACTATGAAATACCAACAAACTTTGCATATGGAAATGAGGAAAAAGGAGGAATGCTAGAAAAGGATCGAAAAATCAGAACAGTTCAGGTTGTCCTTAGTCTCCCCTAGCACATCAGCTTGCACATCCTATGATAGACCATCATGAAAATGGTTCGTCCTTCTGTCTCATAATGGGAGTATTCGTCGGTGGTATGATCATTTGTGAACGGGAAAGGATGACTGGTTGCAAAGCATGGTGGAAAAGAAAATAAGAAAAGTACTGCATCATCAAAAATGCACAGTACTTGAAAAAAATTTTTTAATGCAATTTAGAGAACAGAACAATGTGGGAGGGAATAATCGTTTGCTGGTTGAGTCAAATTTCAGTCTTTCTTAAATGGTAAGTGTTCGAGGAGAATATTTAGATTCATCCAGCGGTTGAAAAATTAGAAAGCAGTGTGAACGTATTGTGGAAATTGCTGGAATCAAATCAAAACGCCACTCCTGAGCCCAATTTGAACGGAAGCTCTTTCTTTCCTTCAATGTGCAAAATGCAACCCACTGCCATTTGTAGGGTTGTTAGCGTGTAAATTCTTTGATAACATCAGCAATCGCATTCTTTTTCTGGCTCGTGGTACACCCACGACAATATGACGCTATCATTCCTCTCCACAAAAGATCTCCATAATTCAAAATAGCACAATACAGTACTCTACTGCTGTTTATGACAAAACTGAGTATTACTTAGTTGTTATGGCAACAGCCAATCAGATTAGAGTGGTGTAAAGCTGGCGAGCTGGGCGGTTGGGTTAGTCATTGTCAGTCAGATCGCTGGTCGGGTCGGCTGCTCTCTGTTGGTCGCGCGTTTGTGTGCATTTTCTCTTCGTTTTTACGCGTTCTTCCGTGAGTTTTATTAAAAAATTTTTATAATTTGAACTGGCTTATATTGCTGATTTATGTTGACAACGCGTGACCTTTCGTCCTCACCTGGTTATCGATTTCCGTGCGGCTAACATGTCCGAAACAATAAATGTTGTGATGAAAATTGAAACTATCAATTAGATTTGTCTTGTGCTTTCATGCGCAATTCATTTGAAATTAAACGGGAATCCGTTGAATCTAGTGATGAGCGAAGATATATTATCCGAACTATAAGCAAATTATTTTGTGAGATGGTCCCTGCCGCTATATATCGATCGATCGATTGTCGTGTGTTGTTGCAAGAGGCGCGCTATCTCCTCTGCCTTAATAGCGTGCGTGGTGTTGGACTAGCGTTGTAAAACGATCGATTCTTTCTCTGCATCTCCACTTTTCATCCATTGATTTGTCAGCTCTGTGTTGATCTGTCTATGCGTTCTTTTTGGCGTATTCCATGTATGTGCTACAGAGCAGTGTGTTACTAATAACAGGGACGCGTGCGTGCGCGCGCACGCGTTGACATGCTGACGTGTCGATAGCATTGCAATCGATCGATATGATATAGCTGTGCTGGGAAAGACAATGCATGTGGAGGATTTGTCGCACGTTTCACGTGACATGGGTGTTTTGAGTTAGATTAGTAGTTTTTTGGGAAAATCGTACGCGAATCACTCTATCTTATTCCTGTCATCATTTAATGAACTTGTCCCCGTTGAATTCGTGCGCAGAAGTGTTATATGGTTTTTGATGGCATGTATTTTGGAATTACTAGGAAAAAAAACCCTGCAACCCACTCTGTGAGGTGAGGACATCTTGTGGTGGTGATGGGATTGGATTGTTTTGCTAAAAAAGCCAGATTTTGTCTTACATTTATGTCATTTTAAGTGTTGCTTGATGTAGTGTTCATAATAAGTCAACGAAGCGTAGGACGTTTGTAGTGGTAAGTGCGCGGCGTGGCTGTGGGAGTTTTGCGGCGTTTATAATATTTCCATACTTAGCGCAGTATGTCGTGTAGCTGCTGCGCAGATTGCTAGAGTATGAGAACCCCATAGGTTTATTTCAATATTGAAAGCAAGAAATCTGGAGGTTGAAATGTGAAAGGTATGGATAGATTTCAATCTATGGATTACATTGTACTTCATTCTCCGTAGGCGATGTTTTTTACATATCGATTTTAAGGGTTTTTTTTTGCATGGGATATGCATTGCATTATCTCTTGAGGAATTTACAGAAATGTCTGTTTCTGCGGCCTCAACCTCAAATGCGAATAGCAGCAGTAATGAGCCAGTAACAACTAGTGGCAGTGCCCTGGGAACATCAGAAAATCCATCTGCATCGGATGAGAAAGCATCAGTGATGGACGCGGAGAACAATCAGATTGAGGGGTCGCAAAATGGAGGAGATTCTTCGGAGCAACACATTGATGATGGGGATAATGATGATAATGCTGCTGATGTTGGTGCTGCTGTGCCGTCAACAAATGGATGGGAGTCACCGCGACAGGTTGATTAATTGGTCAACTTAGTATGTTGGCACGTAGTTCAAGTACTTGCGTAAGCACGATTCGAATTACGTTAGTTTCGTCTAATCTCTCAAGAATTTCCCAAATTTTGCAGGAAGCAATTAATGGAGTAGTACAACCGCGTGTGATCCCACCGCCAGGTAAGCCTACACGGCATACAAATCAATTGGAATTCATGTTGAAGGAAGTTCTGAAACCAGCGATGCGTCATAAGCATGCATGGCCATTTATGAAGCCTGTAGATGCTGTACGTCTGGGATTGCCGGTACGTTTTTCTTTGTAACGTGTATAAAAATTCGGCTTACTGTTATTAATTCATGTTTCTCTGCTCAGACGATGGGTTGAAAGGGATTCAGGTTTTCAAAGTTACGTTATGGACTAGTGATAATTGCTTGAATTTTTGAAGGATTATCACAAGGTGATCAAGCGTCCAATGGATATGAATACTATCGAAAAACGCTTGCGCAATTGTTACTACTACTCGGCAAAAGATTGCATGCAAGTAAGTAGGCCCTTATTTTTTGAGCTGGAAACGTTGCGTGCGGAGAGATACTGTTCGGGTCCGAAATAATGTTTTCTTAGTTGTCTCTTTTGTCTTTTTTTTTCATGTATTATGAGAAAAACGGGCAGGTGAATGTATCAGAAAACTAGTTGCAAAAGTGGAGTGGGTTGTTGTGTGCACACAACTGTTTGTTTTTCTTCTCGTTGATTTGAACTAAGAAATATTTCCCGCTCTGTAATATCATAAAGGGAATAGGAATTTGGAAAGCAGTGCTATCTCAGTTTTGCATTTTAAAGATGATTTTTTCCGTTTTTAGCCTTCATTTTGAAGGCTAAAAACGGAAAAAACTGAAGAGCGGAAAAGTCACTTGTCCTCTCTTCAGTCAGTTATAATTATTATCCTACTGAATGAATGATTGGCGGCTTTTCTGTATTTTTTATGATTTCTAGAAACTTCAACGAGTACGAGCGGGAAATATTTTAACATCACTTTTTGTTTCAAATTTCCTTTGATTAGCGCCTTTCGATTTCGATGGGCGCTGTTTAAAAGTCATTTGCAAAGAGAACATCGCAAGCGAGCATATTTCATAAGTAATTTGATTGAAAACGAAAAAACAATAAAACGAGGATTATGTGGCATTAATTTCATTTGAAACAATCATTTTTTTGGGCTGCTTCATTTCCGTTCACTCCTAAATTTTTGGTGTTTTTAAATTTAGTTGTGTTTTTATGTATTATTTGTTTTTTCCTCATTTTTTTGGAGTGGGGGAGAAAAAAGTGTTTTTTCTTACGTGTACTTCAAGGAATTTAATTCCTCTTTTCTGCAGAAATATTTTACATGACAAATAATGTCTTTTGGTATGTATGCAGAAGAAAATTTTTTCGTTTATCATTGCTGCTTCAAGTGTTAGCGTTTTGTCACGTATAGAGAAGCTTTGTCGCTTCACATTCACTTAATGGTTTTTAACTTTATATTTCCTTTTTTTTTGTGCGATTTCTGGGATGCTAAACATACTGTTGTGCTGAATGTTACACTTTCCCGTGCGAAGTATAGGAACTGCGATTTGTTAATTGGCATCGAGTTGCATAACTTTCTCTGTGTACAGTAACTAAGTAGGCATAGTATCAGTACATTGATTTACAATTTATATTTGAGAGTGGCCATTTGCAACAAATTGTTTAGAATTAGGACTACGTGCTGAAAGGAAAAAGGGATTGCGAATGAGCGAATGAAATCTTCCACAGAGGAAATTGCGTTCTCACAAAGTTCATTTTCAGAAATTTAGCTTGAATTTTATGACTCATATGTCGGCAGTTTGAATAGTTGAGGAATGTATGTAGTTTTTGATTTCGAGGTAAGGATATAAAAGACTATGGGGTTGCATAACTCTCATATGCGCAAATCAGGGACGGGATCAATACAAATATATAAAGCAAAACTGGATTTTTTTTTGACGGGAAAGTAACTTATTTGGAAGTTTTTGAAAGGTGGTTTCTGCTGGTATTCTGCGCAATATGTTGGCATTTTTCAGTAATTCAAACTTTTTGGAGGGAGATGAATGAAAAGAAGCCATCGTTTATTACCATTGAAGTGGGTTTGGAGAATTAGAATGATATATCATGGAGACGTACGAGCGATCACAGAATAGTTGTATTTTGCATGCAATCACAATAATATCGAAGGCACTTACAGTCTCTTCAGTCTTGTTAGTCGCACGACTAAATCTGTGCTACCATTTTTTTAATGTGCATGGTCATTTTCCTGTTTGTTTTGCAAGGAGGTATCCTGGATGTGAAGAGAAATTCATAATCGACGAATTAATTTCGCTAATGTCTGCTAGGACAGCATTCTTCGTTCGATATGTATATGTACTTGTGGATATGAAATAGGAAGAAGGAATTAAAAGCTGAGAAGTTTAGGTCTCCTTGTTTCATTTATCACAAATTTCGCAACTGTGGATTTGATCCTGGGTACTTATTTGAGCCATTCTCGCAACTTGCAAGTGTAGAATACAGTTGAAATTTAAATATTTTTTTGAATATATTTTGACAGCATATTTTATGTACATGTCGTTGCATGAAATTGGGAAGGAATTCTCTTATTCCATACAATATGTTATTTTTGGTCCTCAGACTATCGTCCCAACTGTAAACTTGAAAAAGAATTCTGAGATTCGGAGAATTTAGCCAATATTTCCTTCCAGTTTTTGGTAATTGTCATTCTTAAAAAGTTTCTGGAATATATGAGCTAAGGGGTTATGATGAGATTTGAGCGCATAATGAATCGTATTTAGCCTATCATATTCCTGATTAAGGAAATTCTTCATACATTCATGTTACGCAGTCCTGGATCCTCTTGTAAATTGTTTCTTGAAATCTCAAACTTTATTTTAATAGCTTGCAGCGATGGCTTCGGAAGTAAGGTTTTTTTAAGTATCCAAATATTTAACTGACCTCTCGAGTCATTGAGAAGAAATTATGTATGTCTATAGGAATATATGCAGTCTTTTTGTGTAGTTCGTTATGTTTGCCTGGGAGTGGATGGCAATTGTTGCAGCTTAAAATATTTGTTATGCAAAAACTGTTGCCACTTTAAAGCTTGAAATAGCTAGCAGCTAAGCGCGGTTCTCTTTGTTCAGGACGTTATGACAATGTTCAACAATTGCTACACGTACAACCCTCCTGAGTACGGGGTTTATATGATGGCGAAGAACCTGGAACAGTATATTCTCACCAAGCTCGCAACGATGCCCCCTGAAGTAAGGCTTTTCAATTATTCGTTATATCTGTTTTTGCTAGTTTTCAGGATTTTGAGTCCATTTTTTCCAACTGCTACAAATTCAACCAAAATGAAGACGATGTATCACTTATGTGCAAGAATGTGGAAAATTTGTACAGAGAAAAAATGAAACTACTGCCGCCTCAGGTATTTTTGAAACTTTCACACTGTGCGATACGTGCAGTATTTCACAGGTTTGTGAATGTCCTTTGTTTTTTTTCATTGCATATTTTCACTTCTTACTATCCCAACTTAATTTTGGGCCTTATCCTTGTATTATTTCAGGAAGTGGAAATACCACGCCCAACAACTAAGCGAACTGCTGGTAAGTCGAAGAAGTCAACTACTCGTATTGCAATCGTTAAAGGAGGTAAATTGTTTACCTGCAATTTTATTATCAAACCATTATAAGTCATATTTTTGCATACTTAGTGGTTCATAAGTTTAAATTAAGTTCAAATTTCAGGGAGCCGTGAATCGTCTGCATCTGTACAACGTGGGGTTGCCGATAGCTCATCGATTTTGGATGCTGCAGCAAATGGAGGCATTCATGCTTCTGCATCAGCTTCTGTAGACGACGTTCATCCAACGTCATCGCAGGCACCTGTTCAGCCCGTTCTTCCTTCGAAGGTTTTTTGCTTTCTTTGAAGTTTTCACCTATTCTGCGCTTCTTGAAATTTTTGATTTGAGTCTCAATGGTGCCACGTACAATGTGGTTGGTAAATTTTGCTATTTATATGGACATTTTGGCGTACCTTGATAGCAAACCTGATCTTTAGCTTATGTATTAACTTATTTTAGGTTCAGAAAGGCGTCAAGCGGAAGGCAGATACAACGACATCATTTGGTGATGATGTTGTAACTGCTAAAATTGCAACTCGTCGAGAATCTGGCCGGCCACCTAAGAAGCCGAACTACTTCATTGATTACAATCAGTTGAAGCCGCGTTTTAAAGGAAAACAAACTGAACAGATGAAATTTTGTCAACGCCTTGTCAATGAACTATTTACAAAGGTATTGAATAACAGTGAGGTGTGCTACGTAGTACGCAAAAGCAATATGTTTTATCGAAGTACGGATGTTTCCCAGGAATAACATCGAGGCATTTTTTTATCGCTGGGCATCTTGACATTCTGTAGAATATCAAGTGATCCAGTTTCAAAATTTTTCTGCATCTGTTTTAGAATAGTGATGAATATGCACAATGTTGACTTTAAAAATTTGGACTATATGAAGAAACAAAAGGTAATTGTCAATGATGTCGATGAGCGAGATTTTTACTACTAACGTATTTGATTGCGGAAGATTTATTTGGCGATTTAAATTAAAGTGTAACATTCCTTTAGTTGCTCTTTTCTTCAATATAAAGTTTCATAAAATTAGCATACGTTTAGAAGTGTAAGTCGTTTACTTGGCCGTTTCTCGAACCCGTGGATGTCGAAGGTTTGAAATTGGAAGATTACTATGATATAGTGAAGAATCCAATGGATTTGGGAACGATTAGGTAATAGGCTATCGATTATTTTTATTTGAAATGTTGACATTGATGACTGTGGTCTTCAAATGTTTCATTTTTTGGTTCATGGCTTTAAGTTTTTCTACATAGTTTCTTTTAGTTACCGTACAGTAGGTTAGTGCTTTTTTACTTTTTATAAAATATTAGATAAGTAACTTTAAGGAGGAAATTGGATGCTAAGCAATATGCCACACCAGAAGAGCTGCGGGCTGATGTTATCTTGGTTTGCGAGAACTGCTACAAGTATAATCCAACATCAGATCCTATCCATCAGCATGGTCGAGCTCTTCAGGTTACTTGTTTGAAAATTTTGTATTTCAGGGAACAGTAAAATTTTCTTTAATTATCATAAGTGGGATATTTTCAGAAGTATTTCGAAGACAAATGGCGCCAAATGCCTGAAGAACCATTAGTGGTTGATGAAGGGACAACATCGGCAGCAGCAGCACAGGTGGTGACAGCAGCGATCCCTACACCAATGAGTCACACCACGCCACCAGCCCATACGGTCACATCTGCTTCTGCAATAGTCAAGGATGAATCAATGGTGTCTGGTCTTCCCCTTGTGCCACTGGATGTTTCTTCAGGTGTTATTGACAGTGATGAACATATTGATCTCATTTTACTTGCTCTGCAAACTGAAACTGCCAAATGTCAGGAGAAGATATCCGAGCTTCAGCGTCATTCTCAGGAAATTCTGTCATTGAGGTTTGATTTTTACTATTTTTTTCCGAGAAAATTGTGTGGGGTACATAATGAGGATGGAAGTCAGAGATTAGCTTATTCGGAAGTAAAGATGTGCAAATGTTAACGAATTTATCACGTTGATTTTAGTACTGTTATAGGCTGAAACGAAGGGAAGCTCAAGCAAATCATCTACCGGTCCCGGTTCTTTCGGCGGCCACTGTAGGAACTCTTCAATCCTTAGTTTCAACACAGTTTTCTTTCATTGCCAGCAGCCCAACTCCAATGATAAAGTCATCTGCATATCCACCTAGCAGTGGCGCCGCTTCTGTCTCACGTAAGAAACCCGGCCGTCCTGCCAGAGCTTACCAACAACAAGTCTCAGGATTACCTGGAGGACTGCGTATTAACAATGTTGCCACGGAGATATCATCTCAGGAGCGAGAACTGAAGCATGAAATGAGTGCGCCGTTGAGTAAATCTTCTTCCCATCAACGGCAGGTCCAAAATTCGGTGCATGTGTCTACTCCAGTTGTACGTTCGACGACAGCGGTTCCACCTCAGGAAACACCTCAAAAATCTTCTGAACAAAGTATACAGGCGTCAGTAGCGCGTAAACGTGGTCGGCAACCTGGCTCTAAAAACAAACCCAAAATAGATGCGACGCAGTCTGGTATGCCGGTTGCTGATGCTGCACCGCGGCATTCTGGATCAAGAAAGGTGCGTGAAGATTATGACTTCGATTCGGAGGATGAACGCACTGCAGAGCCAATGAGTTATGACGAAAAGAGACAACTATCATTGGATATCAACAAATTGCCTGGTGATAAGCTCAGCAGTGTAAGTTTTAGTAAACTGCATAAGTGGGATATGGATGGATTTATAAGATATTTTCAAAGCTTCTGAATTCATATACTTTAGGTAGACAATATCTTTCAGTTTTAGATTGAAAAGTTTGCGAATTCAAAATACGTAGAAATAATATCATGGTGTTTGTATAATCGTATCTCGAAAATAAGAATGTAATCGGGTGTGCTTTTGATTTAACTGTATTGCGTTTCGTATTTTCAGGTCGTTAGCATCATTGAATCTAGAGAACAGCTTCCGGGTTTTAATCCGGAAGAAATTGAAATTGATTTCGAAACCCTTAAGCCGACTACGCTGCGTGAGTTGGAAGCATTTGTTGCTGCATGCTTGAAGAAAAAACCAAGGAAACCATATAGTACGTTTCAGTTCTTTCTAAAGTACTCTGCTGTACCTTGACAATCATAAAGATTCCAGTATTAATTGATGTCTCATTATTGTAGCACCGAAGTCGCAGAAAGAAGTCGAGATTAAGAAACGAGAATTGGAAGAAAAAATCAAAGGCTTGGGCGGAATGATCACTTCAACACCTATAACTTTAAGTTGGTCGTTCCTGTCGGTTAAAATTTCATTCAAGATTTTTTATGAAAATTTTCTGTCGTTTTTTGCTTCGCGAAGCATTTTAATTTTTGTTCCAGCACAAAACGGTGCACGAACAGAACCGATAACCACGGGTAAAAGCGGTGATCCATCGTCTTCAGAATCCTCTTCAAGCGAAGATGATTCATCATCGGATTCGTCATCTTCGGATTCCTCAGATAGTGAATCAGGTTAGAGTGTTATTTGGCAAGGTGACCTGAGATTTTAAGGACGAATTTCCGCGTTTTTTCTCATTTTTGGTTGTTGTCTGTTTGATCTTGTTTTAGAAACTCATTTTCTTTACTTACCTCATTAGCATTTTATTGTAATTTAGCTGCTTAGTTCAGGCATTTAATTTCATTTTTTGACTATCATTAATGCCAAAATGCACAGCATTGAGCGATGATTTATTACTGATGTAACTAATCTCGATTGTTGATTGCTATTATAATTTAAAGGGGCGTTGTTCCTGAATTAGAGGAGGTGCTCTTTTGATTTATTTAAATGGCGAAAGTTCGGTCATCAAGAATGTGTGATGCTATTATTTATCCATGTAAGGTTGTGCCCGTAAGTGCAATATCTACAACAGGCAACACAGTCGCATGCAAATCTCTCGCTATAAACGGTGGTTGACGCTTATCAATAGGGAAAGGTTTTTTTAAAAAAAAAAAAAAATTTCAAAAGTCATTTTAAGAGCTAAAGCGTGGCGAAATAACTGAGGACAAAAAATCGCAGTTCTCTGATTCTCTGTCGCTTTTTTCACAAATCTCAACGATTGTCAGAGTCGGAACCATTTGCCATCTTCATTATTTCCGATAAACGACGGTAGCCATCTTTTTCAAATTTTTCGGACCAACCTGATATTTTTTCTTTTTTGCACATCACTTGTTAGGAAGATTATCATACTTAGTACGTGGGAGGATAGCAAGTAATAAGTGTGTGCGTGGAGGGGTAGCAAGTAGTAAGTGCAGTAGGAAAAAAAGGAAGTTGTTTGTGTTGATAACCTGAAGTGGAATTGCACTTCCGGAAAGGGTTTATTTGTTGTATTTGGTATAAAAAAGATGAGAGATGAAAAACACTGTCTAGAAATTGTTATTTCACATTTTTCTTGTGGTTATATCCTTTACTTTTTTCGTGATGTGCAAAAATTTTTTGACTACCTTTGTTTCGTCAGATTTTTGTGTTGAACCCAGCTCTTTCGTAATTTCTTCATTTATCTTTTCTAATCTTATACCATCTTCAACTTTTGATTTAAAAGGAACCGACAGGAAATGGCATTTGCAATGTTTTTGTTGTTTGTGAATATCGCAGGAAAGATATACGTGTTGTATATCTGTCATGATGCTGCATTAAATTAGTAGAGAGTATTTTAAATTCCACTGTTGTTTATACTTCGATCTAACTACAATTTATCCGGTACTTCGTCTTCATAAAACTAATAATAAATTGTTAGTTTCTTTTTCAAACTTTGCTGCATCATTTCAATGTTTTTCTTGATAACGCGTGTTATGGTGCATCTCTTCCTGTTATAGTTTTCCTGAAATCATCATTATTTTTGAAAAATGCCAATAATTAATTGATCGGTTGGTAATACGATTCTCATTTCACAATACAGCGATCTTATCATTACTTTTTGGTGATGAATTACTGATTACTTTTTGTTTTTCTGTTTTTTCTGTGCATGGAATATTGACCATTGTTTTGTCCGCTTCGATCGCGCAGCACAAATATTTATCATTCATTCTTCACTGATAAAATAAGTCATTTTTATTTATATTGATACCGTGCAGTATATGGAAAATAATGTGGAAAGAAAAGGTAGGCGTCAATCACCATTCGTAAAGAAGCGAGAGTTTTGTATGTGAAGGTAAGGTGTGATTATCTTTGGCGTGTTGTGTTTAAAGTATATTTCTTCAATATTAGTCTTATTACCAGAGCTTAAAATAAGGCTGTCGGTTAATGTTTCAGAGACTACAGGTAATACAAAAGTGGAACATCAGGAACAGCGAACAGGTGTTGAAAAACCACAAGGTCCTGGACATGCAACAGAAAAGGTGAAATTCTGTCCCATACTTGGTTTAGCATCTGCAAGTAGGAGAGGAATTGCGGATTGTGCTCGGTGGGGTTAATTCTGAGTTGCTCCGATGATTTGGAGTGTGCACAAAGTATACCGAATCAGCGATACCGTCTTTTGAACTGTTATAAATACAACCTGTAATGTACTAGAGGATTCGTGATTTTGGTTAAAAAGTGGTTGTTTGAAGAAGGAAACATCACCAACTGCACCATCTGCAAACAGTCAGCAGCAGCAGCTTGGTCCCGTGTTGCAGCATCCTGCAAATCATTTTCAGTTTGGGGATGTTAAAGGTAATTTCAGCTTATCAGGATTTAAATCAAGGAGTCATGTGGAGAACGGTTGAAGGCTGAATGTTAATTCTATATTTGATGGAAAAAATTGAAATCAAAATTTCTTAAAATATTTTTTGAACAGAATTTAGATCAATACTATATTTTACATTTTGTGTTCTCTGCACGAAGTTTTTATTGTCGGTTTTTTGTTAACTCTTTCGTTCTCTTTGAGTATTGGAGGGGGTTTGACAAACAACAGTTAGCCAAAAAGCAGCGATACCGAAAGTGTAACCTATTTAACTGACATACGCTAATTTCCACTAATACACAAAATGAATTTATTCAAACAAATCTTCCATTAAAAAATATATGCTAGAATAATCGGTCTTTATGTGAATCATGGTGTATGAATGATGTGTGATGATTTTTTTTTGAGCATCTAGCATTTTGCAGAAGAGCAAGTGGATTGTGGTAGCAGTGCTTTGGCAGTGACAGGAAATCAACTTGTTACTCTGAATACGAATAGTGCGATATCTGTTGCGTCGCAAGTGCAGCAGGGACAATCGCAAATTTCTGGAGGATCAATACTTGATCAGTTGTTACCGGCAAAACAAAATGGTTCGTTGGAAACGCTCATTAAATATGAGCATTCTCCTAATATTTTAGCGAGTGAACTAGTAACTTTGGTCAGACAGTTGGAATCAAGCGGTTTATGCTTGGTGCTTTCCATCTTTGCTCACTTTGCATAATCAGTGAGGATACGTTACACTGAATTTTGCCATGATGTTGGTGTGTGTGTGAAGCATTATAATCTATACTATGGGTCCAACAATTTTTTTCTTTTTTTTAAAGACATAAAGTTGTTTCAAAACATGTCAAATCTTAGTGGTTGGACAGGAATGACCAGACAAATCTTACTCACGCTAAATAGAAAAAATTGAAAGAAGAGTTCATTCACAATGCTAGTTTCTTTAGAAATGGAGGACAAGACTGGTGTAAAGAAACTGTCTGGATGGGATACTTTGGCAAAGAAAAGCCAGAGTGGTAGTCTGAACATGCAAACATCAACGCAGTTTGAGTTATTTCGAAAGCATGCCAGAGAAAAGGAAGAAAAGGTTGTTAATAGTTATTAATTGAAAGGTTTATTTTTCATTCACTTAGTACTGGAAATTTGTGCAGCACACACATGGTGTGAAATGGTACCTCTAAAAATGACTGCATTGTTTCAAATTAAAGCGTAAACAGCTGCGAGTGGAGGAGGAACGAAGGCGTCGTTTAAAAGAACAAGAAGAAAAAGAACGTGCCAAGGACCAGGCTGCAGCTGAGACTGCTGAACTGGAGCAGAGACGACAAAATGAACTTTTGCGTCAGAAAGAACAAGTTAGATCTACAATTCATTTTGGTGAATAAGAGAACAGTAGAAATAGTATACTGAAATTACTTCACTAATAAATTAAGCTCTGGGAATATTTGTTGATCTGATAATGTTATAACCATTTGTCAAGTTCTGCAAGAAAAACCATGTTTTAATTAGAAATCATCAACACAAAATTTTTTTTGTGTGATGATTCTCTTAATGAATTTCTTTCTATCATAACGACTATAATTGTTTTGCACTTCAGCGAACTGTATATATCATTATACGCATACATAATTCGTCTCTTAATATTATGTCGTCTATTATAGGAGATTTGATTTTTAAATGGTTCTTTTTGATGTTAGCCGACTATGTTCTCTTCTAGTAAATAGAGGCTCATCAATTTTCGTTTTTAAATGGGAATGTCATGTTGAGATGAGAATTATTTGCTATCCGACGATATGATTATTATTTTCTAAAGTAATCAAAAATCACAAAAGTTTTGCAAGGAAAGCAAATGAGTTGCAGGAAAGGCGACGTCGAGAAGCGATGAGTACAGGTGGCGATGTTACCAGCCAGATGGATTTAATGCTCAATTTTGAAGCTAATTTCTAGAAATGGTTTTCAGAATTTTTTTTTGTGTTTCTCATTTTTTACATCACCTTTGGTGGGTAATAAATACTAAGCGTTTTGCTGATACAGTGTTTACTTGTTTGTATCTTAGTATTGTGTTTAAAATAGTCCATTTTTAGGCCTTAATAATAAGGGGAGGAAGGAACCACTTTTTTACGATCTTGATGTTTTGTTTCTCTTGCATAATTTGAACATATCGATATTTTCGTTTTCTTTCCTTAAATCAAAAAATGATGCAAGTTTAGGAATTTCTTGAAAAAAATAAGACCGTTTTTGTTAAGTTGATGTAAATGCTTGATGATGAATTTGATCGAATGGCTATCCTTTAGTTGATCTGTTAATAGGGTTATGATTTAGTTGCGGTTGGAAATGGCTCGCAGTTTGAGCTTCATTTGGAGCATAAAAGGACATTCCCTTGTCTAATTTTGGAATTATCAATATCGAATCGTTCTTTTTCCGAGGAAATCAAGAGATCGAACAACTTTATTAATAGTTTATTTTCTTGTACAGTGGCATGTATAGTTTGAATTTGTTTTTATCAGCTTAATGAATTTTAGTTTCAATTATTTCACACCTGACATTGTTTAAATCCCATACAATAGACCACCAGCAGCGGTTGTCTTCATTTCGAGTATGTAGACTGTTGATGTCATCAGCTCATTTGTCGTAAGGGATGCTTGTTGATCGATTTCTATTTGATCGAGAATGTTTTTTTTTTTTAATGCAGTTTATTTCGAGATAATTAGACATTGCGGCTGTCGTTTTTCCCTTCAAGGGACGTGGACGGAAGTATTCGGCATTTAGTTGCTTTTCCTGCTGGAATATTGTTCGATAGATATTCGGACAGCATTGATATCTTAGTCAAATTTATCTTAATATTTGTTACCGATAAGCTGCTCAGATCTTTCGGAAGATAGTTAAATTTTCTTGTCGCTGTATTGTTAATATACAATAGCGTGCTTTCGAATTTTTGGTTTCCTCCCATTTGCCAACTGAATACTTTCTAGAAGATGCTTTCTATTTCTTTATTTTCTCGAAGTTTAAAGAGTGCATTGATGTCCTCGAAATAATGTTAGATTTTTGCAGGAGTTCAATTAAATAAGAAATACAAAATACATTTCTCGATATAGGGTATATAAAATTCGTTTGCTACGCTACTGATTGTGCATAATCTTTTTCTTATTTCCGTAAGGACGTATTATTGGCAGTCGGAATTTCCCACTGTCGTCAGTACAACTCTCCGTCTTTTTGATTCTAATTTCTTGTCCTTCTGGTGGAGAATAACATTTTTGGATTTTTTTGTTTGTTTCTGTTTGTTTTATTGCTCTTTAAAAGGTCTTGAGTGTTACGCGGTCCTTTGTATGTGTTCTTGAATTATAATCTTAATTCTTTTATTTCACCCACTGTCACCTTTATTTTCTTATAGATTTTTGCTCACGATGTTTTGAAAAAAAATAAGAACATTTTGTAGAAAGGAAATGATGTTAATGCTTATCTTTTGCCTTACATATGTTTTCAAAAAGGAAATGAAGCAGCGAATTATGCATAAACAAACAGCATCTATAGATAATAAAGATTCAATGAATATAGCTCAGAAACGAAATTTGGTTCCTACTGGCAGCAATCAAATCATATTTGTAAAGTTGCGACGTTGGCTGTTAAGATTTTATGAATAGTTTGGTTGAAGGCCATGGATGTGGTGCTACTATTGCGTAGAGTGAGGCGTCACCCGGGAATCTGCAGAGTGTTCGTTGATTACGTGCTTCGTTCTTGCCATGCTGAAATTGAGTGAACGAGCATTAGGTCCGTTCTGAATGCTTAGCCCTATTATGGGATTTACTACGTGAGGTGTAGGGATTCCTCGTCAAAGGGAAAAATGTAAGATCGGGAGCGGCAGGTTCGAGTTAATACACATATTCGATGGGGTGGATCTTTTCTCGTTTGATATTCTAGAAGTGAACTTATTTGTATCGGTTAAATCTTATCCGATGAAGTCACACATGCCATAGAAGTGTTTGCTGGCATGTCACACCTTACGATTCGTGTTACCCATCTAAATAATAACTTGCTATCCCTTATAATTGAGCTCGATGAGCAGAGGTATTTACATAATGCGAGTTATTTCCCAATTCATGCTACCAGCGACATAACGGTATTGGCACCTTTTGCCATCCGTTCACATCGAACATATCTCATTGAGATTTATTTAACAGCTGAAAAAAGGAAAAGACAGTAAGGGGGAGTGCCGATCGGAGATACAGAGAGAGGACAGAGGGAGAGGTTAATCCAGTAGTTCAACATGTGACAGCAATTTAGAAAAAAAACTTTGCATTGCCGAAATCAATACAGACGAAATTTATCCAAAAGGCATCGATTGCCCGTTGGTATTCTTAGAATTCGTTATTTTTATTTAATCCATCTGTATTCAACAATCATCTCCTCAGCTTTATGGCAATCATTGCATATTAATGTTATCCGAAAGCGGCACCCGTCAAAATAAAGAAACAGAATCCAGTGATGAATAAATGTAAGTGTTTTTTTTTTTTACTTTATCACTTTGTCAATTGTATGAATCACGAAAATATGGTTCGTTTTTCAGTCTTGGTATTTGACGATTTTTAGAGATGTTTAGTTTGCTGGTAAACAAAGGAATATTAAACCTATGGAAGGGGTGATTTATAAAAAAGTGATCATTGAGTGATTAACGAAATGGTAACTTTTTTAATGCTGACGCGTAAATTATTTTATTCAGAAGGTTTAAGTTGAATTCTTCAAAGGTCACTTTAGAGAGACTGATATTGAACTTATAGACGAGTACAAAAACCTGTAGCTTTTGTTCAGATTACTTGAGTATCTTAATATTGACATTAGTGAAGTAAATCAAAGACAGACAGACTTATTATGAACTAAAATTTTGAAGAAAATAATTCTATCTAAAAACTGTTTGTATTTTTGCTATCCAAATGAATATCGAAGCGGTCTTTTTTTTTTGTAGAACTAGCAAAGACACATAAGAAAACACCCTAGCTGTATTTCAGGTGAAGTGCTGCTGTTGTCATTACTATATCTCCACTGCGTTTCCGCATTTGGCGGAAGACATGATTCGGCGGAACATATTGAGCAAGCAGCCGAGAAGGTAGGGGGAGTGTTTTTTGTTTTTGGTAAACAAACTTTTTTTAAGAATTGAACCTGAAAAATATTGCTAGAAAAGTAGAGATTTTTTAGTATGGAATAAAAGGATTCATCCTGAAAGTAGTTTTATTTTTCGAGCTTATAATTGTTTCAAGACTTGCTTTTATATGTCCTTCATTACGGCTCGTAAAACTTTCAACTGTAAAATCAGAATTTGTTCTTAAGGTTCATAAGCTTTGCCTTTTCTTTTCAGAGGGCATACAGTATTCATCGTATTGATACTTTGATTTTATTGATTTTCGTTGCTTTACTTGTTTTCATTGTTCTTACGGCATGGTTTTTCAAGCATCATCGCTTTCGGTTTATCCATGAAACTGGTCTTACGTTGTGTTATGGTTAATTTTGATTTCTTTTTATTTCAATAGACCCTCGTGATCATGTCTTCAAATAAAACGTTACTTATTGATAATGGAAAAAATCGGATTAGCTGTTTAAATGAAAAATATTTGGAGTTTTATTGAATGTAACCTGAGTTTTATATAATCATTCCACTTTATTTAAAGTAAAAAAACTTGTCAAGTTTTTCCGAAATTAAGCTTTTCATCGCTTTATTTTTCAGTCACTTTGATTTATTTTGGTCATCTCAATGTGAACTGTATATTTGGTTAGGAACAGGCTTAAAATTGTTGTGTTTAATTTGGAACATAAAACGGAATCGGTTTTAGGCTTATTGATTGGTCTATTACTACGTTATACAAATATTGGTGTGATTGAAAGTCAGACAATAGATGTAATGCAGAAGAATAGATCTGTCGTACGTGACCCACCAGATTATTTACGACTTGAGGTTCGGTTATTTAGCTCCAAATATATAGACACTGGAAAAGATTTTTGGATGACTATTTTCTACAAATGAATTATCTTAATATTACTTCTGTTTCTTCTTACGGTAATAATCGTGCTTTACTTACATTACATACCATATTAGGAAACATCATCTCATTCTGTTGATGATCTCCGTAGCATTCTTTTTATCCCACTCGAAGTACCACTCAGTAATCTTGTTATAAACATTTTAATATTTTAGGTTGAACCAACAAAAACACAGAAAGTACAGTTTCATTATGAACTGATGGAAGGTTTTTTTGGAGATAAGGAAAAACAAAGCGAACGACATCTTAAACAGAAAGTACACTCAAGTTTTCGTCAGGGCTCGCTGCAATTTATCTCTTTGCCACAGTCTTTTCCAAATTACTTAATTTGTCTGGTCATAATTAACAAAGGAAATGTTAATGTAAATATGTTTTCAGGCTGTATTTTCTCCAGAGATATTTTTCAACCTTCTTCTTCCACCAATTATTTTTAATGCTGGCTATAGCTTAAAAAAAGTACGTAATTAATAATTAGCAGGAAATTATGATTGGCAATAATTAAAGTGATGCCCATATTCGTAAAGCTAACTTCATTTCTAAGTTCTTGCTTAGTGAAGAATTAGTTGGACTGTTCTTTATTCTCGTTAGGCATTCAAAGGAGCACATTGAACAATGAAGAGAATCACTTATGTTTCTGAAAAATTTATTTAGTATTTTCAGCGACATTTTTTTCGAAACATTGGCAGTATCCTGACATTTGCTTTCGCTGGCACAACTATATCAGCTGTGATTTTTGGGTATGTTTTCGATATTTTCTTAATTTTCGGAACTTTGCTACAACAGTGAGTGAAAATTTATGTGAAAGGTTCGAATCATTCATCTTGCACATTTCTTCGTACTCATTACTTTGTTTTTTATTCTTGTCACATTTTTTTGTAGAATAATAATGCATTCATTTTGCTGGTTGTTCTCTTCATCATTCACGTTCAAGGAACTTCTTTTTTTCGGCGCGCTGATGTCATCAACAGACCCTGGTCAGTTCTTTAATATGTTCGCATATGTGGAGATTTTATAACAGTATGCATTGTTATGAATCTCCCAATTATTACTACGAATAAAAAAGGAGAAAAAAATTTGATGAAACGTACTGCAGATCTATTAAAATGTGCAGCGAAGCTTAGCAACTCAACCAGGTCCTTCTCAAACCGGCAATTGAGATCAGGTTGACCGGTTGAAGTTTTGGAGATCGATCTCTGCCGCGGTATTAAAGCTTTAAGAAATCTTAACAGTACGAAAGACATCAATAATTTTCGCCATGATGGCTCACATTCTTCATTAACAATAATAGCTTTTATTGTTTTCGTTTTATTCATTACTTTACTTTATATTATTACAATAATTGCTATTGTATTACTGTTAATTACTGACACTCTTAGGTCTCTCAAAAGCATAAGGAGTTGATAAGTATCATTTTTATTTGCTCAACATATTCGGAGCTTTTTACTTCCTGTGCATAAGGAGGTAATGGAGATGATGGTGTAATGGTAGTGGTTTTAATGTGGGGCACATAATAATTCAGGGTGGAGGCTCAGTCGGTGCCTTCATACTTGGTAGCGTGTGCAAGAAGAAAGTACATTGTTGTATTATTGCTCGGCAGCATTCTAATGTTTGCTGTCTAGAAACAATGTTGTTACAGTAACTGAGGAATTAAGGGACGGGAGAGTTTTTTCTAAAAAAAGTTCCAGAGATGAAGGTATCTAAGTAGTTTAAATGGAAGATTGAAATCTTTTTTTCTTCTTTCTTCCTTATAGATTATATAGGAGAAGGATAAAGTTTTATTTTTTGTGTCATCGGTCGTACCCAATGAAGTTGTTAGCAGAAAGGCCAAAATTTGTAATATCATTTGTATACTTGAAGTAATATGTTATTTTCATGGCAGCAGATTAATTTTCACTTTTCAAATATAACGAAACTCTGCCTTATAGTTCTATAATAGTTTGTTCTAATTTTGTTTTAAAATTCCTTCCCATTAAACAATTTTAGTGTCAGTATTGGCTGTCTTCCAAGAGATGGAGGTAGAATCGGATCTGTATGCATTGGTTTTTGGCGAGAGTGTATTGAATGATGCTGTTGCAATTGTTTTGTCAAGGTAATCTACGTTTCATTTTCTGTCAAGTCCGGTAACTGTAATGAGGATGCACTTTCATATTCAGTATGAAATTTTAGCGCTATAGGGATATCAGGTATAAAATATAAATCCGAAATTCTAATAAAGAGTGCTGTTGTTAATGTTAGTAAGATTAATTGAGTAATACATTTTTGATAGCTAATAATATCTAGAATAACTTCATAAAAATGTTGTTAATTTAGAGATTACCAGTCGAATGTGTTATCGGAAATGATATCCATGTTCTGCAGTAATTTTTATTTGATTTCAGCTCTGTGGATAATTTTGCAGCTTCAGATAAATCATTCGATTTGGATGCTTTAGTTGCTGCTATTATTGACTTTTTATCCGTTTTTTTCGGTAAGTTTCTTTTTATGAACATATAGTTTGTCTAAAATTTGTATGTATAGATTATTCTACCTAGTTATTTTATTTCTTTGTTCACATTGTCCCAAAATCCTTATTATGGAAATACGAAGCTTGCACTTTCTTTTAAAATATCTGCTTCACTCTCCTATCTTTCCCACTGTATCTACAGTTAAGGGACGGACGATTTCATGCTTTTTTCAGGATCACTTCTCTTGGGTTCAGTGATTGGTTGTGCCACAGCCTTGATTACTAAAATGACTGAAATTAAAGAGTTTCCATTGCTCGAAGCTGCTCTGTTCATACTTCTTTCATATTTGTCATTTCTTCTTGCTGAATTTGTCGAGTTAACAGGTTTTTAATTTCATTACTGTTTATCAGTTCTTATCTGTTCACATAGATTTCACGAATTTCTGCGTTTACATGCATGCTCATGAGTGTTATAAATGGCAGTTGCATTGCATTAATTAACATCTGCCATCCATTGTGTGTTGGCCTTGTAAAGATAAAAGTTTTTCTCAAGTGTTTTAAAATTTTGTGCTGCTTCAGGAATTGTTGCTGTTCTTTTTTGTGCCATATGTCAGGCTCATTATACTTACAATAATTTATCGGATGAAGCGCGAACTAGGACAAAACAATTTTTTGAGGTATTTGTTTCAAAATTATTTATATTGCCGAACAAATTTTTCAGAAATTATCGTTAGTGAAAAACGGTGATTGCACAGTGTCAAATTATATGATCGTTTAATTGTGATGTTAAACCTTATTTCACATTCCAGAATGCTGCAATATACATTTCAGTGCACTGGAATGTTCTTTTTTTGTCCACACAGTCGGGACAGAGCAGTGAATCGAAAAGTGCTTGCTGGAAAAGATGTAGAACTTTTATAATAAATTACTGAGGCAACAACGTTAATTTTTCAGGAAGTTTCATTCTTGATGGAAAGTTTCATCTTCTGTTATATTGGAGTAAGTGTTTTCGTATCACACAATCAACAATGGAGTATTTCTTTTTTCCTTTGTACCCTGGTAAAATTTTTTTTGTTTGTGATAATTTTCCCCTTGGAAATTTTGATTTTTTTCTAATGGGATATTTTTTTCATTATATTGTTGAAAGATTAATCTGTTCGATAAATAAATTAAGTGTAACTGTTATTATGGATCTTTGTGAAAGGTTAGTGCTCTATTTTATCACTTATGCTATTGTAGAAATACAATCAATTTGATTATCGGGACCATTTTGATGTTACTGATTAAATTGTTTCGGTTACAGTTCATTGTATAATATAGCATGTTTATATTTTTGAATGTTTCTCATAAATTTATGTACTTAATGTGTCTTTTACTTTTTTCAGCTTTCTGTGTTTCTCTCAAGAGCAGCTCATATCTATCCGGTCTCTGCCATGTTAAATATTCGTAGAAAACCTAAAATTCCACAGCGATACCAACATATGATGCTTTTTTCAGGTATATAATGGTTTTTTAACTTCTAATTTTTTTCTTGAAAATTCATAGTACCTACTGTTAATTATTTATTTTAATTCTCTGTTGACAAATTTTAGAAAGATTTCTTCTTTGCATAAAATTAAAGTTCATAAATAAAAACCTATAGAATCTGTGAATTCCAAACTCAATATTTTAATTAAAGGATTGCGTGGCGCTATGGCTTTTGCACTTGCATATCGTAATACATCAACAGATAATCGTCAGATTATGGCTACTACTACTAGTATGGTTGTGATCGTGACTGTACTGTTCAATGGTGGCCTCACTTCTTGGTTTACTGAGTATTTGGGCATCAGGTCGCTTCATTTTTGTTTCCTTAGATGGCACTAGGGTGGAATTTGAGTATAAGATTTGAAAAGGGAATGTCTATGCTGTGGAAAATTGTGAGTATAATTGTTTCAAGAGAATTATCGCTTTAGACATGGTGTTGATGCTCGTGATGATTCTCAGCTGCAGCTCAACTCGGTCAGCGTTTCACTTTTTCCCAGTTAAAGTCAAAATTCTCTATGACGATTTATGAAAGTTTCAAATGCAGTAATGTGCACGAATGAAAGTATTTTCTCAGAAACAAATTCTAACATGCACAAATCTTGCTCTTACATAGAGCATCTTATTATATGTATGCTAATTATTGTTGTAGTGTACATTTTAAATGTAGGATGACAGCCATCTACAAAGCATAGATACATTATCGCGTGTCAGTGGACAAAATCCATGGGATAAAGCATTCCTCCCCCGGAAATGGTACAACTTTGACGCATCGTAAGTGTTTTGTGTCCATCTTTTTTTTCTCTTAATAAGTGTCATTTTCTAGGAGCCAGAACTCTCAAGATATATTTTTGACTTGAAAAAATAACGATAATTACTAAAATTTTCATATATTCTACAACTTCTTTGGTTGTTGATATTTGCAACTTTATGACTATAAAATTATCAAGTTCATTTACATTCATGATTTCATTTAACGAAAAATTGTTTGCAGCTTTATGAAACCATTCTTAACTAATGCAAATCCAACATTACTGGAGACCATGCCATCATTTATGGCACCATTTGCGAAAATGTTCACAACCAAGGAACAGCTTCCTTCCTATAATTTCATATTGTTGTTTTTGATTTAAAAAAATCGTTCGGATTATGGATATATATTTAATGATTTTTAAGATTAGTTATACTTTCCGGGAGCAATAAGAAGTTTCATTTTCAAGAGCCT